GTAAACATTTCAGCACGTACCACTACATCTCAAATCAAACATGTCTCATTGATGGCTGGTGATTGCGGACACTATGGGTCCCTGCTTTTTCTTTGGAACTCAGAGATTCAGTGCTACAGGTTGAGGCAGAGTGGCTGGAAAGCTACCCAGTGGAAAAGGACCTGTGGATGCTGGTCAGCAGTAGCTAACATGAGCCAACAGTGTGCCTGGGGCACTCTGGCTTGGGTAAGAAACAGTGTGGCCAGCAGGACCAGAGAAGTGATTCTCCCCCTATACTTGGCACTGGTGAGGCCACACCTCCAGTCCTCTGTCCATTTCTGGACCCCTCAATCCATGAAGAATATTGAGTACTGGAGCAGGTCCAGAGGAGGGCAACAGAGCTGGTGAAAGGTCTGGAACACAACTCCTATGAGGAGCAGCAGAGGGAGCTGGGATTGTTTAGCCTGGAGAAAAGGAGACTCAGGGGTGACCTTACTGCCTGAAAGGATGTTGTAGCCAGGTGGGCGTCAGTCTCTTCTCCCAAGCAACCAGTGACAGGACAAGAGAACATGGCCTCACAAGCTGTGCCCAGGGAGGTTTAGGTTGGACATTAGGAAGAACTTCTTCATAGAAAAGATGATTACATACAGGAATGGGCCGCCCAGGGAGGTGGAATCACTGCCCCTTGAGGTGTTTAAGGAAAGACTGGATGTGGCACTTCACCATATGGTGATATTGGGTCATAGGTTGGACTCAATGATCTCAGAGGTCTTTTCCAACATAATTAATTCTGTGATTCAGTGTTTTACAATACTACTAAGTTCTGCAGTTTGCAACTGACATACAGAGGGAGGCATCTGAGCCATTGATGACATTTGGCCAACTTCACCTTAGTTTCTGGCAGAGCTGCCTCTCTGGCAGTGACATTCCTGGCAGAGCTGCCTCTCTGGCAGTGACATTCCTGGCCAAAATTTCTCTCAATTAAATCACAGGCAAATTTCCCAACACCTTGAATAAGAAGAGGATTTGGTCCCATGACCAGAAGATACATGTGCATCTCTCATCGTATTGTAAGTAGCAAATGCTCGTGACTGCAGTCTAGCAATCCAGACTTAAGGGCTAGTGACATCTGACAGCAAGTCCATTATATTAACACTCGAAGACATAGACAGAACTTATTTACAACACCAAAAAAGATAAGGCCTTTACTCAGGGAAATCCTGCAAGGCAAAATTTATTCCAATTACATTAAAATATTCCTTCTCTGATTCAAATCACCTACTTAACTAGGAGAAAAATAAACCAAACAAAAAAATTCCAAATATCCCTCCTTGCTGATAAAAAATAAAAACAACATGACATAAGCTATTACTATATTAAAAGTATTTTATTTAGACTGTTTTTCATTGAAATTTTTCTGTGCAACTAACTTTCCTGAACATTCTTTAAAAAGAAAACAGCTCAAAAAGAAAATTCCTAAAATATACATCCTACTTCCTACACATATATTTCACAAGGGACTTGCTTTATTTCATTCTGAATGTAATTCATCATTTATAAAACTGCAGTGCAGGAAATATTTCACAGAATTTTATGGTGGTAAAATGCAAAATAGAAACACTGCTTTAGAAGCAGCAGGTACCATTTCTAGTCTAGGACCTGTATTGGAAGGTAGCTGCTTTTCAAGCCTAGCAATGGAACAATTAATAAAGAAACCCATTAAGGTCTGATTGTTGCTGCTAAAAAGGAAGGTTGAATTTCAGGCCTTTGAAGTAACTGAGAATGATTCAGGACTCATTACAGAGATATAATCTACATTCATACATTTATGTTAGTGATTCAAATCTATTGGGACAGATTGAATTCGGTTAAATAGTGCATCTTTCCTGTGGAACTTTTCTCAGGCTTTCTCAGGCTAACCTAAGAGGTGACCTGACAATACAAAGTAGTGGGATATTTAGGGATTCAACTGTGCTATAAAAGAAAGGCTATACAGAAAGTAGAAAAAAAGAATGAGATATAATCTAAAAAGCTATGTCAGCTTTTCATTTGGACTTTGTTTTGTAAATGCCCTCCTTGTCATCACACAGGATAGAAAGGGACTCTATGCATTGCAGTAGTTTAACGTACTGCCCTGAATATTGCACCTGCCAGACGCAGATTTTATACGAAATTCTGCACGTTGAATTTCCTGTTCTTAACCACAAAATCCAACAACCAATATACAGATAGTCATGAGCTAGAAATACAGAACTCTGCTTGAGTAAATTCAAGACATTACCTATTTTTCCAGGGTTAAATATATACTTGTTTGACCACCACTTTTTCCCTCCCACTAGAGATCCAGAATGCCAATTCACTTTATTTTCCAGCATTTGACAGTAAAAGGGGGGGGAAGACGTCTTCAACTGTATACTTTTAAGATACTATAGTACTTATTTATGATTTAAGCTGTTGGAATCAACTTCAATTTTAGAAATAACGTGTAGTATCCTTTGTGACCCATGCAGCAATCAAACACTGACATCAGTTTGTAGACATACATGTAAGCTGTCAGGCATTCCCAAAAAGGAGGGATTTGCCTTACATTTTGTTCTATTTGTCTATGTTTTTTATTAGTTACCAAAAGGAAGAGCCTTTGCAAAAAGTAAAGCCTAAATAAGATTTGCAAAAAAAGATTTCTGAAATGCTTTCCACTCAGTGCAAATATATACAGAATAAATACACTGAAGTACCATAAACAACATCGTAAAATATACTGATTCTAACATTAAATGGTTTCATTTTTAAGTCTGTTTAAATGTCAGCCCCAGAAGCTGAACACATAAATTTAGGAGCCAACTCTCTCCAGAATAAACACCATAATTGGAGAAAATAATTTCTAATTTCTGTTGTGAGGTTAACATATATTTAACATCCTAATCCAATGAATCTGTCTAATTTTAGAACTGTTTGTTCTTTTCTCCATTTTCTGCTGTTTCAATTAAGATTTATTCCAAATGCCAAATGGAATTACATAGGCGGTTTTCCATTGCATTCCACTGATCTGTGTTATTTAACTGCCTCTATTTCAAAAAAGTTCTGGGTTTACATATTGAGCTACACACTGTGTTTCTGTACCTCTTCATTTCTCCGTTACTCCATTTTCTTAGCAAATGTTTCACTCACTTGTGTTCCAAAACAGTTCTTTAACAATGCCAAATACTGACCAACTTTTAATGTCTTGTATGCTGCCCAAATCCTGTCAGTCAATAATGGTTTAATCTGGTGTTAAAAGATAGTACATCATATGGAAGATGCTTGTTAATTTCTGGAAAAGTTGACGGTTCAGTGATGAGCTAGAAATATGAATCCGTCATAACATTCAATATGTGAAATGACAAAAACACTAGGAGAGATGGAATCATAGGAAAAACCAACAACATATGTCCCTCCAGGAAAATAATAGCTTGAAAAATTGCTTAAAATAGTCTTCAAAATGGAAAAATTGTTTCTTTCTGGCAAAGCAAACTGCATTAGTTAAAAAAAATAAAAAAGACAGCAAAATATTCAGACGGATTTTATGGGGAAACCTTTGCAATGCCAATAAAACCCCTTTTGCTTTGAAGTGAGATGCATGATTCAGTAAACGACTCATGTTAGCAATTAGAAAATGGTCATTTAGGGCCCTGATTTCTTTTGAGACAAGGAGGGTGAGGGTGGGGAAAGAGACACAATAAATCTTGAGAGGCTTAAAAGGAAGAGGAGGCTAAAGTGTGAACTTTTTATTTCAGCAACGGAAGCGAGAAATCAGTGATTCATTAAAGGAGGGAAAAAGACCTCCATGGAAGCTGGCAAAGAAGAAGGAAAAGGACCTAATTATGTCTCTTCCCTTTTTACTCTCTCTGACCAGCATATAATCTGCTTTTCCAGGGTCTGCCTGTAGTATACACTTCTTTCCAACCCCTCCACCCAACCCCTCCTCCAGCGGGGGGGAGGGGGAGATCTAGCAGGCAACAAGCTCCAGGTGGCTTTCTCAATCACTTCACTGCAAAAGAAATAAAATAAAACAAAACCCTCCACTAGCAAACAAGTTGGGGGGGTTGGGGGTTGTTTTTTGTTGTGTGGTTTTTGTTTGTTGGGTTTGTTTGTTTGTTTTGGGGGGGGTGGAGAGGGGATAAGAGTGAAGGAGGAGGGAAGCTTCCCTAGAGGGGATTGGTTCAGCTTGGAAGACAGGGAAATTAGTAAAGCATGAGTCTCCAAGCCATCCTGGTGGCCGGCGCTCCGAGGAGAAGAACGCTTTAGGAGCAATTAGCAGCGAGCTGAAGGCGGCGGCTGCAGTGGCCGCCGCAGCCCGGGAGGAAGCGAGGGCAGCTTCGCAGCAGGCACCGCTCGCTCCAGCTGCAAAAAGGTTTCAGATGTCCCACCGCTGCCTGACCCCCTGCAAATAAGGGCTGACCACCAGAGGCACATCCCACCTCTGACTTCTAATCGCTGACATTTAGGCTACAGCTTCCAACCTGTTTACAACCAAAAGGGGAGAGAAAGGAAAGGAAGGGCGGGGGGGACAAGTTGGGATTTCTCCCTCTCTTTCTCTGGATTTTTTTTTTTTAATTCTGTTCTGGAGAATTCAAAGCAAAACAAAGAAACTTCCTCCTCTGGGGTTGTCAGTGAGAAAAGGACGAGTTGTGCAACTGGTTTGGGTTTTGCAAAAAGACAAGAGGGTGGGGATCAGAAGAAGGTGCAAAGCCACAAAGTGTGAGTGTGTGTGTGTGTAAAGGTGTATATGTGAAAAAGCTATTCCGGCACCCCTCTCCGCTGGTTTTTATTTATTTTTGTTATTGTTGTTGTTGTTGACTTTGCTGTCATCTATTTTTCAGACCTTTCTGCATCTAAGATAGTGAAGAAAGGAGTGAGGAAGTGAACAAAATAACTCCTGGGAAGTCTCAAACAAGGTTGGGGAGTGTGTGTGTATGTGGGGGGGTGGGGAAGGGAAAAAGGAAAGAGGATTAACCACAGCAACACCACCCCCCCCCAAAAAAAAAAACAAAACAAAAAAAAAACCAACACAACCAAGAGCTCTTTTTTTCTGAGGGAGGACTCGAAGGATTAAAAGGCAGCAACTTCTGAGGCGATTTGTCCCCTGAGTTATGGATGTTGGTGCACTTACTTCAGGCCTGATCAGAGCTCAGAGGGATCTAACCAGAAGCAGCAACAACCGTCTCTCCACTTGCCTTTTACCAGGTTTTACCCTTCCAGTATGTTTCATTTGATAAGACATTTTCCAGCGCCCAGAGTTTCAGTACAATGTGCAAATGGATACTGACAAATGGTGCCTCAGCCTTTTCCCACCTGCCTTGTTGCTGCTTGCTGCTGCTCTTCTTGGTGTCTTCTGTGCCTGTCACCTGCCATGACCTCGGCCAGGACATGCTGTCCCCGGAGGCCACCAACTCTTCTTCATCATCATCCTCCTTCCCCTCGTCCTTCTCCTCTCCTTCCAGTGCGGGGAGACACGTGCGGAGCTACAATCACCTCCAAGGAGACGTGCGCAAGAGGAAGCTCTACTCTTACAACAAGTATTTTCTCAAGATCGAGAAGAACGGCAAGGTCAGCGGCACCAAGAAGGAGAACTGCCCCTTCAGTAAGTACAGCTCCGCCGCCGCGCCCCCCGGCGCGGCTGCCGCGGCCCCGGGCGCCCGAGCCCCCGGCTGAGGAGAAAAGGGAACGGACGGGAAGGGAGAGGTGAGGCCGGGGAGGGGAGGGGGCGCGGGGCAGGGTAGGGTGGGCTCAGCTCGGCTCTGCCGGGACGCCGCTCCCCGCCAGCCCGTGTATCTGCGGGTCTTTCCAGTTACATTTGTCTTGCAAATGGCCTCGGCTGAGCACCGTTTAGTTTCTCCGCCCGGGCGAAGAACAAATTAGAAAGATTTGGAAGGAAGCGGTGCAGAGTGTGTGTGTGGGGGGGGAACCGGGGGGGGGGGGGGGGGGCATTGTCTCCTGAATCTGAAAATCATTATCTCCTGTCATTAAAATGACTTGGAACAATTAATCGATGGCTCCCACGCACACACACGCGCCCGCCTCTCTCCCCGACCCGCACAACAGCCGCCTGCTCTGCGCTCCCTCCTCCCCGAGCCCTGGGCGGGGTTGTTTGTCCCTGCGGGCCGGGGTCTTGCCCGTGTGCCCTCCCCGCCGCGGGGGCGCCCGGCCGCGCTGGGAGCCGGTGCGCGGCCGCGCTGCCGCCCCCGGGGATGGGGAGGCGGTGCTGCGCTGCGCCCCGCGGCAGCCGGGCTGCTGCGCCGCTATACGCTACTCGCTCCATTGTAAACATCTGGGATTGCCTTCCCACAGACCTCACACGCTTTTCATTGTCCTTTTCTTTCTCTCTTTCTCTTTTGGTTTTTTAAGAAATAATCTCAGAGCAAAAGTCATATGGTTGTCTCCGTAGCTGAAGTTTTGAGCTTTTCTGTAGTACTAATTAGGGGTTTAGTAATAGAATGCTTCTTGTAATGTATTTCTGGCGGTTAGTGCTAGAAATGTAAACTTCATTTAGTTTTCCTGCCTGTGCAATCTCAAATTGAAGTAACTGTAGTAAATCACAATATATTGCATTGTAGCTCTTAAGCACCTATATCCCACTATAGGAACATGCTGAGAAAGTAAGTTCTGTTATGCAACTCTTGGAGGAAACAGACTTTCTTTATTGGTGAAGAACACACTTTGGTTCTTGGGTTGTTTTACATAAATCCAGATAAACCTGGGAATAAATCTTCTGTTAAATTAAAACAACTGAAAGTGATTTAAGGAGATCCCTTGTTAACTAATGTATAAAATATGGAGTACTTCAGCAGGTTGCCGTGATGTATGATAGATTCTGCCTTTAACTCAGCTGTATTTCTAGTAAATATTCATATTATAGGCTTGCAAACAATGAGAAAAAGGCTGCAATGCCATATGTCACTGCTTCACTTGCTCCACCTTGCAACTTCATTGTTTATCATGCACTCTAATGTTTGTAAAAGCTTTATGTGTGAAAGCAGGTGACTCTTATGGCCTCCCTTTGTGTAATTCATAGAAAGGCAAATTCTTGAAAAACACAGCTGTAAGGAAGGCTTGACTTTTATGAATTTGTGTGGAATGAGGTACTAGCACTGTATTTCTTAGATTACCTTTGGGTTTGGAGGAGAACAGCATTTTCATTCCCCTAAAATGGGATTATGAAAGCTTTGTGTGCATCTTTGAGAACATCAAATTCTTTTATGCAGAGTACTGCTGCCAAAAAAACTATAAGGTGCCCAGTCTGACAGCGGTGTACTCAGAGAAGTAACTACTCATCTGAGCAGTCCCACTTAGCTAGCAGAACTGTTCAGTGAGTAAACTTGTACACATGCATGAACTTCTGCAAGATCTTGCCAAGAAGAGGTGGAATACACTGAAGTGCATATATACACCTTCCTACCATTTCAGTCTACATGCAAAAACAACCCCCTGCAACTATGGGAGAGGGGATGTGTGGTGTATCCTGGTTTTGCAGGCAGTATATGAGAAAAAGAACTGGCCTTCTCAGTGATGTCATGGTTGTTGTCACATTTGCAGAGTATCTGCTGAAAATAGAAGAATATAATTTGTTTCATATAAAAACAACACAATGCCTTTATTATACATAATTTTATCTTATTGCTGAGGATTATGTGCAGTGATGAAAGGACTCCCATCATCTTAAAACTTGCAGCTTGTGTCCTGCACTTATATCACAAAGTCAAATCTAGTGTACAACATCTTTCAATACAAAACAATTACAATCTGGTTGGCAGAAGTCGGAGTTTTATGTTGGTCATTAATAGTCATTGTAAAATGCAGTGTGAAATTGTGTTTTCTGTAAAAGCTCATAGTCTAAGACCATTTAAAAATATATTTACTGTACCTTTATTCGAGGATGTTTGTGTAGCAAAATGTTGCAAGTGCATCACTAAATCTATGCTTTTCATAACTTCACATGTAGAGATCCCATCATAATACTGCTGTAGTCCCAAGCTGGACTGGTTCCATGCAAATATATGATTTATTTTTCATATGGTCTGAAATAAGTAGTGACACATGAATAGCTTTCTGCCATGCATAGAATTAGCCAGATAGGCCACTAAATTGTATCCTGTTTCACATTACAGACTATTTAATCTCTATTATGAGTTTCTGTCCCCAAAACCATGTTTTTCTAAACAAATAAAAGTGACTACTAACACACAAGACTGAAGTATTCTAATTTGGAGGCTAATTTCCTCATATGCTAATGTTTAAAATCAGTTTATGCTGAAGTAAAGCCTTATCAGTAAGTCTGTAAGATCGTGGTATGTTGTGTAATTAAACAACAGCTTTCATGGCTCACTGCCAATTAAGCATGGTCAAGTAAGAAGAACAGTTAGAGAAAGTCAGAATAAACATTCAGAAAACAGAATTCAGCCTCCAGCCTTCAAATGGCTCAAGCAGCATTCTTAGATTTGCTCTATAAATATTGTGTAGAGTGCACTGAATTAAAGTTTACTCTGGCCAATGTATTTCAACTTGATTGCTTTGAATTATTCTGTCACCCACCACAAAGGTGGCTCCTGATTGTTTTGTCAGCAGGCTGGGGGAACTTGCAGCATTTGGCATAGTTGGAGGAAGTCTGTCACTGGATAGAAGTAGGACACAGTTTAGTTTTTGTTTCTTGTTCCTTATATCTGGAAGCTGGTCCTCAAAATGCAACTATTAGTTTGTCCTACAGCACCACAGCTGTGAAGTCCCTTGCCCTGTTCTTGACAGAGCTATTTATATGCACAAATAAAGAGAGCTGTAGTGCTTTCTGGAGACTTACATACTAGTTTGGGGAAAAACAAATCCAAAAATCCTCCAATGATTTCACTATAGCTTGAACCCTGGGACCACCAAAAGAAGCTTAAACCATATATGAAGATTGAGAGGGAACTTATATGCAGATTCTGATTTCACTTGCACCCAGACAGCTTTCTTGATTGAAGATAGTAAAATTCTTTGGGATTAATGGATGGCTTGAACTAGCTATGATAAGCTAGTTAAAGAAAACTAGATAGTGTTTCTGAGTGCTATACTATTTTCAATTGACTTTTAGTGAAATTGTTAATAGTACTATGAAGCACACAGACTTCAGATTTACAGAACAGACCTTATTAGCTGAAGAACAGTAACAAAATATATAGTGCTTAATTAGCAGCAGCTACCTGCAGTCTGTGGAGGGAGTTCTGCCCGAGCAAACTCAACATCAGGCCATTACTTAGGTATGCGTTTAGGGAGTGAAGTCTGTGTCACTGAGCCTGCATATTAGTGGGAAGAATTGCTGGAGCGATTCCTGCGGGCTTTGGACCAAGCAGTGCTATGCAGAACCTACGGTAGATGGCGGCACAGCCACTGCCTGGTGTTACCTCTGCTCAATGGAGGTGGACATGAAGGGTTTGAACCCTCAACTGCATAAGCTAATTTAGCTCAAGCAAAGCCAAAAGGGCTTACACCAGCAGATATTCTAATAATTGGCCTTCTGAGCATCCCAAGTGGACTAATCCAAGCAGTGCAAAAACACAGCAATTGCAGACTAAGAGTGTTTACCGGGGGAGCTAGCAAGAAATAATTAGCTATTTCCCACGAGCTTACCTATTCCAGGCTTTTCTTCTGAGTATGCAATTATCTTTTCTATTAAGCTTTATGAACTGCTGAAGTCCCTGATAGTCTTTGGTTTTGCTTTAGTTAGCGTGGGATCAGCTTAACAACGAAGTGAGTAAAAGCAGGAAAGTTCTGAGCCTCATTCTGTAGCCCAAAACATTGTAAACAACCACTTTAATTGCTATAAGTGCTAAACACTACTAATGAGGATTTTGTGTCCATACATACATGATTGATAAATAGATATTTGTAGTACATATTGGGTTATATACAGAAAATTAGCATTAAATGTGTTTTGATTCAGTATACTCAGTTTGATACTCAGTTTTTTGATCATACTTCAGGTGCAACAAAATAATAACGAGTGATATACCTTGGCCTCAGCTATGAAGCTCCAAGCAGTTTAGAATAATTGGTAAAATATGTTATTTTACTACTGAACATTTTGTAAGCTAACTGTTTGCAATTATTGACTCCTCATCATATGGTATTTGTAAATTAATGTGAGAACTTTTCACTGTTTTTCTAAAGACTGATGAGCAGGCATATGTGTTTTGTTGTTTTACTCTCCACAGAGTTCTGTTTTATGTTTTACCAAAGAAAATACTTAAAATATGAAGTAATACTGTTTTAGTGTAGTAATTTGAAATTTAGGCTCTTCACTGTGAAATATATGAGTTCTTATGGAGATGATTTCTCACTTTTTTCTTTTTTTTCCCTTTTTTTCTTTTTTTCTCCCCACAGAACTCATATAATTTATAACAGCAGTATAAAACCATAGGCACTTAGGATTTATGAATGTGGAAAGAATTGTACTATTTAATGTCTACATGACACTCTCCTGTTACCCTTGCTGCATTCCTGCCTTGTGGACCCTCCATGCTGATACTGTAGTCCTAACATAAATCTGTTCAAAATACATTGTTGTAAGAAGTCTTTTTGTCTTCATAAATCTAACTTATGGCCACTTAGGGAAAAAAAAAAAAAAGAAAAATATAAAGAGAGGGACAGCTGGAAGTTTGTTCTTGAAACATGAGAAGAAA